AGATTGGGGGGCTGTATGCTAGCAGAGTACTTTGCCAGATCGGGGGGCTGTATGCTAGCAGAGTACTTTGCAAAATGGCGGGCTTTATGCTAGCAGAGTACTGTGCCAAATCGGGGGGCTTTATGCTAGCAGAGTACTTTGCCAGATCGGAGGGCTGTATGCTAGCAGAGTACTTTGCCAGATTGGGGGGCTTTATGCTAGCAAAGTACTTTGCCAGATCGGGAGCTTTTTGCTAGCAGAGTACTTTGCCAGATTGGGGGGCTATATGCTAGCAGAGTACTGTGCCAGATCGGGAGCTTTATGCTAGCAGAGTACTTTGCCAGATTGGGGGCCTTAATGCTAGCAGAGTACTTTGCCAGATCAGGGGGCTTTATGCTAGCAGAGTACTTTGCCAGATCGGGGGGCTTTATGCGAGCAGAGTACTTTGCCAGATCGGGGGCCTTTAGGCTAGCAGAGTACTTTGCCGAATCAGGGGGCTGTATGCTAGCAGAGTACTTTGCCAGATCGGGGGGCTTTATGCTAGCAGAGTACTTTGCCAGATTGGGAGCTTTATGCTAGCAGAGTACTGTGCCAGATCGGGGGGCTTTATGCTAGCAGAGTACTTTGCCAGATCGGGGGGGCTTTATGCTAGCAGAGTACTTTGCCAGATCGCGGGGCTTTCTGCCTGGGAGATCGGGGGGCTTTATGCTAGCAGAGTACTTTGCCAGATCAGGGGCCTTTATGCGAGCAGAGTACTTTGCCAGATCGGGGGGCTTTAGGCTAGCAGAGTACTTTGCCAGATAGGGGGCCTTTGTGCTAGCAGAGTACTTTGCCAGATCGGGGGGCTTTATGCTAGCAGAGTACTTTGCCAGATCGGGGGGCTGTATGCTAGCAGAGTACTTCGCCAGATCGTGGGGCTTTATGCTAGCTGAGTACTTTGCCAGATCGGGGGGGTTTATCAGATCGGGGGCCTTTCTGCTAGCAGAGTACGTTGCCAGATCGGGGGGCTTTATGCTAGCAGAGTACCTTGCCAGATCGCTTTTTGCTAGCAGAGTACTTTGCCAGATCGGGGGGCCTTTATGCTGGCAGAGTACTTTGCCAGATCGGGAGGCTTTATGCTAGCAGTGTACTTTGCCAGATCGGGGTTCTTTGTGCTAGCAGAGTACTTTGCCAGATCGGGGGGCTTTGTGCTAGCAAATTACTTTGCCAGATTGGAGATCTTTGTGCTAGCAGAGTACTTTGCCAGATTGGGGGGCTGTATGCTAGCAGAGTACTTTGCCAGATCGGGGGGCTTTATCCTAGCAGAGTACTTTGCCAGATCGGGGGGCTTTGTGCTAGCAGAGTACTTTGCCAGATCGGGGGGCTTTAGGCTAGCAGAGTACTTTGCCAGATCGGGGGGCTGTGTGCTAGTGCTAGCAGAGTACTTTGCCAGATCGGGGGGCTGTGTGCTAGTGCTAGCAGAGTACTTTGCCAGATCGGGGGGCTTTATGCTAGCAGAGTACTTTGCCAGATCGGGGGGCCTTTATGCTAGCAGAGTACTTTGCCAGATCGGGGGCTTTTTGCTAGCAGAGTACTTTGCCAGATTGGGGGGGCTTTATGCTAGCAGAGTACTTTGCCAGATCGGGGGGCTTTATGCTAGCAGAGTGCTTTGCCAGATCGGAGGGCTCTGCTAGCAAAGTACTTTGCCAGATCGGAGCTTTTTGGTAGCAGAGTACTTTGCCAGATCCGGGGGCCTTTATGCTAGCAGAGTATTTTGGCAGATCGGGGGGCCTTGTGCTAGCAGAGTACTCTGCCAGATGGGGGGGGCGTTGTGCTAGCAGAGTACTTTGCCAGATCGGGGGCCTTTATGCTAGCAGAGTACTTTGCTAGGTTGGGGGGCTTTATGCTAGCAGAGTACTTTGCCAGTGCGGGGGGCTGTATGCTAGCAGAGTACTTTGCCAGATCGGGGGGCTGTATGCTAGCAGAGTACTTTGCCAGATTGGGGGCCTTATTGCTAGCAGAGTACTTTGCCAGATCGGGGGCCTTTGTGATAGCAGAGTAGTTTGCCAGACCGGCGGGCTTTTGTGCTAGCAGAGTACTTTGCCAGATCGGGGGGCTGTGCGCTAGTGCTAGCAAAGTACGTTGCCAGATCGGGGGGTTTGTGCTAGCAGAGTACTTTGCCAGATCGGGGGGCTTTATGCTAGCAGAGTACTTTGCCAGATCGGGGGGGCTTTATGCTAGCAGAGTACTTTGCCAGATCGCGGGCCTTTGTGCAAGCAGAGTACTTTGCCAGATCGGGGGGCTTTACGCTAGCAGAGCACTTTGCCAGATCGGGGGCCTTTATGCTAGCAGAGTATACTTTGCCAGATCTGGGAGATCGGGGGGCTTTATGCTAGCAGAGTACTTTGCCAGATCGGGGGGCTTTATGCTAGCAGAGTACTTTGCGAGATCGGGGGGGTTTATCAGATCGGGGGCCTTTATGCTAGCAGAGTACGTTGCCAGATCGGGGGCCGTTATGCTGGCAGAGTACTTTGCCTGATCGGGCGGCTTTATGCTAGCAGAGTACTTTGCCAGATCGGGGGGCTGTGTGCTAGTGCTAGCAGAGTACTTTGCCAGATCGGGGGGCTTTATGCTAGCAGAGTACTTTGCCAGATCAGGCTTTTTGCTAGCAGAGTACTTTGCCAGATCGGGGGGCTTTGTGCTAGCAGACTACTTTGCAAGATTGGGGGGCTGTATGCTAGCAGAGTACTTTGCCAGATCGGGGGGCTGTATGCTAGCAGAGTACTTTGCAAAGTGGGGGGCTTTATGCTAGCAGAGTACTGTGCCAAATCGGGGGGCTTTATTCTAGCAGAGTACTTTGCCAGATCGGAGGGCTGTATGCTAGCAGAGTACTTTGCCAGATCGGGGGGCTTTATGCTAGCAGAGTACTTTGCCAGATCGGGGGCTTTTTGCTAGCAGAGTACTTTGCCAGATTGGGGGGCTGTATGCTAGCAGAGCACTTTGCCAGATCGGGGGGCTTTATGCTAGCAGAGTACTTTGCCAGATCGGGGGGCTTTATGCTGGCAGAGTACTTTGCCAGATCGGGGGGCTTTATGCTAGCAGAGTCCAGATTGGGGAGCTTTATGCTAGCATGCTGCAGGGTACTTTGCCAGATCGGGGGGCTTTATGCTAGCAGAGTACTTTGCCAGATTGGGAGCTTTATGCTAGCAGAGTACTGTGCCAGATCACGGGGCTTTATGCTAGCAGAGTACTTTGCCAGATTGGGGGGCTTTATGCAGCAGAGTACTGTGCCAAATCGGAGGCTTTATGCTGGCAGAGTACTTTGCCAGATCGGGGGCCTTTGTGCTAGCAGAGTACTTTGCCAGATCGGGGGCCTTTATGCTAGCAGAGTACTTTGCCAGATCAAGAGGCTGTATGCTAGCAGAGTACTTTTTTTGCCAGATCGGGGGGCTTTATGCTAGCAGAGTAATTTGCCAGATTGGGAGCTTTATGCTAGCAGAGTACTGTGCCACATCGGGGGGCTTTATGCTAGCAGAGTACTTTGCCAGATCGGGGGGCTGTGTGCTAGTGCTAGCAGAGTACTTTGCCAGATCGGGGGGCTTTATGCTAGCAGAGTACTTTGCCAGATCGGGGCTTTTTGCTAGCAGAGTACTTTGCCAGATCGGGGGGCTTTGTGCTAGCAGAGTACTTTGCCAGATCGGGGGGGCTGTATGCTAGTGCTAGCAGACTACTTTGCCAGATTGGGGGGCTTTATGCTAGGAGAGTACTTTGCCAGATCGGGGGGCTTTGTGCTAGCAGAGTACTTTGCCAGATCGGGGGCAATTGTGCTAGCAAATTACTTTGCCAGATTGGGGGGCTTTATGCTAGCAGAGTACTTTGCCAGATTGGGGGGCTGTATGCTAGCAGAGTACTTTGCCAGATCGGGGGGCTGTATACTAGCAGAGTACTTTGCAAAATGGGGGGGCTTTATGCTAGCAGAGTACTGTGCCAAATCGGGGGGCTTTATTCTAGCAGAGTACTTTGCCAGATCGGAGGGCTGTATGCTAGCAGAGTACTTTGCCAGATCGGGGGGCCTTATGCTAGCAGAGTACTTTGCCAGATCGGGGGCTTTTTGCTAGCAGAGTACTTTGCCAGATTGGGGGGCTGTATGCTAGCAGAGTACTTTGCCAGATCGGGGGGCTTTATGCTAGCAGAGTACTTTGCCAGATCGGGGGGCTTTATGCTGGCAGAGTACTTTGCCAGATCGGGGGGCTTTATGCTAGCAGAGTCCAGATTGGGGGGCTTTATGCTAGCATGCTGCAGGGTACTTTGCCAGATCGGGGGGCTTTATGCTAGCAGAGTACTTTGCCAGATCGGGCGGCTTTACGCTAGCAAATTAATTTGCTAGATTGGGGGGCTTTATGCTAGCAGAGTACTTTGCCAGATCGGGGGGCTTTATGCTAGCAGACTACTGTGCCAAATCGGGGGGCTGTATGCTAGCAGAGTACTTTGCCAGATCGGGGGGCTTTATGCTAGCAGAGTACTTTGCCAGATCGCGGGGCTTTGTGCTAGCAGAGTACTTTTTTTGCCAGATCGGGGGGGTTTATGCAAGCAGAGTACTTTGCCAGATCGGGGGGCTTTATGCTAGCAGAGTACTTTGCCAGATCGGGGGGCTTTATGCTAGCAGTGTACTTTGCCAGATGGGGGGGGCTGTATGCTAGCAGAGTACTTCGCCAGATCGGGGGCCTTAATGCTAGCAGAGTACTTTGCCAAATCGGGGGGCTTTATGCTAGCAGAGTACTTTGCCAGATAGGGGGACTTAATGCTAGCAGAATACTTTGCCAGATTGGGGGCCTTAATGCTAGCAGAGTACTTTGCCAGATCAGGGGGCTTTATGCTAGCAGAGTACTTTGCCAGATCGGGGGCCTTTATGCGAGCAGAGTACTTTGCGAGATCGGGGGGCTTTAGGCTAGCAAAGTACTTTGCCAGATCGGGGGGCTTTATGCTAGCAGAGTACTTTGCCAGATCGGGGGGCTTTATGCTTTGCCAGATCGGGGGGCTTTATGCTAGCAGAGTACTTTGCCAGATCGGGGGCCTTAATGCTAGCAGAGTACTTTGCCAGATCGGGGGGCTTTATGCTAGCAGAGTACTTTGCCAGATCGGGGGGCTTTCTGCTAGCAAATTACTTTGCCAGATTGGGGGGCATTATGCTAGCAGACTACTTTGCCAGATCGGGGGGCTTTATGCTAGCACAGTACTTTGCCAGATTGGGGGGCTTTATGCTAGCAGTGTACTTTGCCAGATCGGGGGCCTTTGTTCTAGCAGAGTACTTTGCCAGATCGGGGGCCTTTATGCTAGCAGAGTACTTTGCCAGATGGGGGGGCTGTATGCTAGCAGAGTACTTTGCCAGATCGGGGGCCTTTATGCGAGCAGAGTACTTTGCCAGATCGGGGGGCTTTATGCTAGCAGAGTACTTCGCCAGATCGGGGGGGCTTTATGCTAGCAGAGTACTTTGCCAGATCGGGGGGCTTTATGCTAGCAGAGTACTTTGCCAGATCGGGGGGCTTTATGCTAGCAGAGTACTTTGCCAGATCGGGGGGCTTTATGCTATAGCAGAGTACTTTGCCAGATCGGGGGGCTGTATGCTAGCAGAGTACTTTGCCAGATCGCGGGGCTTTGTGCTAGCAGAGTACTTTTTTTGCCAGATTGGGGGGCTTTATGCTAGCAGAGTACTTTGCCAGATGGAGAAGGCGTTGTGCTAGCAGAGTACTTTGCCAGATCGGGGGGCTTTATGCTAGCAGAGTACTTTGCCAGATCGGGGGGGGGGCTTTATGCTAGCAGAGTACTTTGCCAGATCGGGGGGCTTTATGCTAGCAGACTGGTGTGCCAAATCGGGGGGCTGTATGCTAGCAGAGTACTGTGCCAGATCGGGGGGCTTTATGCTAGCAGACTACTGTGCCAAATCGGGGGGCTGTATGCTAGCAGAGTAGTTTGCCAGATCGGGGGGCTTTATGCTAGCAGAGTACTTTGCCAGATCGGGGGGCTTTATGCTAGCAGAGTACTTTGCCAGATCGGGAGCTTTATGCTAGCAAAATACTTTGCCAGATTGGGGGGCATTATGCTAGCAGACTACTTTGCCAGATCGGGGGGCTTTATGCTAGCAGAGTACTTTGCCAGATTGGGGGCCTTAATGCTAGCAGAGTACTTTGCCGGATCGGGGGGCTTTATGCTAGCAGAGTACTTCGCCAGATCGGGGGGCTTTATGCTAGCAGAGTACTTTGCCAGATCAGGGGCCTTTATGCGAGCAGAGTACTTTGCCAGATCGGGCGGCTTTATGCTAGCAAATTAATTTGCCAGATTGGGAGCATTATGCTAGCAGAGTACTTTGCCAGATCGGGAGGGCTTTATGCTAGCAGAGTACTTTGCCAGATTGGGGGCCTTAATGCTAGCAGAGTACTTTGCCAGATCGGGGGGCTTTATGCTAGCAGAGTACTTTGCCAGATCGGGGGGCTTTATGCTAGCAGTGTACTTTGCCAGATCGGGGGCCTTTGTTCTAGCAGAGTACTTTGCCAGATCGGGGGGCTTTATGCTAGCAGAATTGCCAGATCGGGGAGATCGGGGGGCTTTATGCTAGCAGAGTACTTTGCCATATCGGGGGGCTTTATGCTAGCAGACTACTGTGCCAAATCGGGGGGCTGTATGCTTGCAGAAAGCAGAGTACTTTGCCAGATCGGGGGGCTTTATGCTAGCAGACTACTGTGCCAAATCGGGGGGCTGTATGCTAGCAGAGTACTTTGCCAGATCGGGGGGCTTTATGCTAGCAGAGTACTTTGCCAGATCGGGGGGCTTTATGCTAGCAGAGTACTTTGCCAGATCGCGGGGCTTTGTGCTAGCAGAGTACTTTTTTTGCCAGATCGGGGGGCTTTATGCTAGCAGAGTACTTTGCCAGATCGGGGGGCTTTATGCTAGCAGAGACTTTTCCAGATCGGGGAGATCGGGGGGCTTTATGCTAGCAGAGTACTTTGCCAGATCGGGGGGCTTTATGCTTGCAGAGAGCAGAGTACTTTGCCAGATCGGCGGGCTTTATGCAAGCTGAGTACTTTGCGAGATCGGGGGGGTTTATCAGATCGGGGGGCTTTATGCTAGCAGAGTACGTTGCCAGATCGGGGGCCTTTATGCTGGCAGAGTACTTTGCCTGATCGGGCGGCTTTATGCTAGCAGAGTACTTTGCCAGATTGGGGGGCTGTATGCTAGCTGAGTACTTTGCGAGATCGGGGAGGTTTATCAGATCGGGGGCCTTTATGCTAGCAGAGTACGTTGCCAGATCGGGCGCCTTCATGCCGGCAGAGTACTTTGCCTGATCGGGGGGCTGTATGCTAGCAGAGTACTTTGCCAGATTGGGGGGCTTTATGCTAGCAGAGTACTTTGCCAGATCGCGGGGCTTTGTGCTAGCAGAGTACTTTTTTTGCCAGATTGGGGGGCTTTATGCTAGCAGAGTACTTTGCCAGATCGGGGGGCTTTATGCTATAGCAGAGTACTTTGCCAGATCGGGGGGCTGTATGCTAGCAGAGTACTTTGCCAGATCGGGGGGCTTTATGCTATAGCAGAGTACTTTGCCAGATCGGGGGGCTGTATGCTAGCAGAGTACTTTTCCAGATCGGGGGGCTTTATGCTAGCAGAGTACTTTGCCAGATCGGGGGGCTGTATTCTAGCAGAGTACTTTGCCAGATCGGGGGGCGTTGTGCTAGCAGAGTACTTTGCCAGATCGGGGGGTCTTTATGCTAGTAGAGTACTTTGCCAGATTGGGGGGCTGTATGCTAGCAGAGTACTTTGCCAGATCGGGGGCCTTTGTGCTAGCAGAGTACTTTGCCAGATGGGGGGGCGTTGTGCTAGCAGAGTACTTTGCCAGATCGGGGGGCTTTATGCTAGCAGACTACTGTGCCAAGTCGGGGGCTTTATGCTAGCAGAGTACTTTGCCAGATTGGGGGGCATTATGCTAGCAGAGTACTTTGCCAAATCGGGGGGCTTTATGCTAGCAGAGTACTTTGCCAGATCGGGGGGCTTTATGCTAGCAAATTACTTTGCCAGATTGGGGGCCATTATGCTAGCAGACTACTTTGCCAGATCGGGGGGCTTTATGCTAGCAGAGTACTTTGCCAGATTGGGGGCCTTAATGCTAGCAGAATACTTTGCCAGATCGGGGGGCTTTATGCTAGCAGAGTACTTTGCCAGATCGGGGGGCTTTATGCTAGCAGAGTACTTTGCCAGATCGGGGGCCTTAATGATAGCAGAGTACTTTGAGAAATCGGGGGGCTTTATGCTAGCAGAGTACTTTGCCAGATCGGGGGGGGCTTTATGCTAGCAGAGTACTTTGCCAGATCGGGGGGCTTTGTGCTAGCAAATTAATTTGCCAGATTGGGAGCATTATGCTAACAGAGTACTTTGCCAGATCGGTGGGCTTTATGCTAGCAGAGTACTTTGCCAGATCGGGGGGCTTTATGCTAGCAGAGTACTTTGCCAGATCGGGGGCTTTTTGCTAGCAGAGTACTTTGCCAGATTGGGGGGCTGTATGCTAGCAGAGCACTTTGCCAAATCGAGGGGCTTTATGCTAGCAGAGTACTTTGCCAGATCGGGGGGCTTTATGCTAGCAAATTACTTTGCCAGATTGGGGGGCTTTATGCTAGCAGAGTCCAGATTGGGGAGCTTTATGCTAGCATGCTGCAGGGTACTTTGCCAGATCGGGGGGCTTTATGCTAGCAGAGTACTTTGCCAGATTGGGAGCTTTATGCTAGCAGAGTACTGTGCCAGATCACGGGGCTTTATGGTAGCAGAGTACTTTGCCAGATCGGGGGGCTGTATGCTAGCAGAGTACTTCGCCAGATCGGGGGGCTTTATGCTGGCAGAGTACTTTGCCAGATCGGGGGCCTTTGTGCTAGCAGAGTACTTTGCCAGATCGGGGGGGCTTTATGCTAGCAGAGTACTTTGCCAGATCGGGGGGCTTTATGCTAGCAGAATTGCCAGATCGGGGAGATCGAGGGGCTTTATGCTAGCAGAGTACTTTGCCATATCGGGAGCTTTATGCTTGCAGAAAGCAGAGTACTTTGCCAGATCGGGGGGCTTTATGCTAGCTGAGTACTTTGCGAGATCGAGGGGGTTTATCAGATCGCGGGCCTATATGCTGGCAGAGTACTTTGCCAGATCGGGAGCCTTTATGTTGGCAGAGTACTTTGCCTGATCGGGCGGCTTTATGCTAGCAGAGTACTTTGCCAGATCGGGGGGCTGGGTGCTAGTGCTAGCAGAGTACTTTGCCAGATCGGGGGGCTTTATGCTAGCAGAGTACTTTGCCAGATCGGGGGGCTGGGTGCTAGTGCTAGCAGAGTACTTTGCCAGATCGGGGGGCTTTATGCTAGCAGAGTACTTTGCCAGATCGGGGGGCTTTATGCTAGCAAATTAATTTGCCAGATTGGGAGCATTATGCTAACAGAGTACTTTGCCAGATCGGTGGGCTTTATGCTAGCAGAGTACTTTGCCAGATCGGGGGCCTTAATGCTAGCAGAGTACTTTGCCAGATCGGGGGGCTTTATGCTAGCAGAGTACTGTGCCAAATCGGGGGGCTTTATGCTAGCAGAGTAATTTGCCAGATCGGAGGGCTGTATGCTAGCAGCGTAGTTTGCCAGATCGGGGGGCTTTATGCTAGCAGAGTACTTTGCCAGATCGGGAGCTTTTTGCTAGCAGAGTACTTTGCCAGATTGGGGGGCTGTATGCTAGCAGAGTACTTTGCCAGATCGGGGGGCTTTATGCTAGCAGAGTACTTTGCCAGATCGGGGGGCTTTATGCTGGCAGAGTACTTTGCCAGATCGGGGGGCTTTTTGCTAGCAGAGTACTTTGCCAGATCGGGTCGGGGGGCTTTATGGTAGCAAAGTACTTCGCCAGATCGGGGGGCTTTATGCTGGCAGAGTACTTTGCCAGATCGGGGGCCTTTGTGCTAGCAGAGTACTTTGCCAGATCGGGGGCCTTTATGCTAGCAGAGTACTTTGCCAGATCGGGGGGCTGTAGCTAGCAGAGTACTTTGCCAGATCGGGGGGCTTTATGCTAGCAGAGTACTTTGCCAGAGTGGGAGCTTTATGCTAGCAGAGTTCTTTGCCAGATCGGGGGGCTTTATGCTAGCAGAGTACTTCGCCAGATCGGGGGGCTTTATGCTAGCAGAGTACTTTGCCAGACCGGCGGGCTTTTGTGCTAGCAGAGTAGTTTGCCAGACTTGCGGGCTTTTGTGCTAGCAGCGTACGTTGCCAGATCGGGGGGCTTTGTGCTAGCAGAGTACTTTGCCAGATCGGGCTCTTGGTTGACGTTGAAAGGGGAGCAACAATTTAAATTTTAGCAGTTCAGTGGATTTGGATTTGAACCACTAAACCACAACTTGCGCAACAATGGGAAAATGTTTCCCAACAACAACCATGTTCCTTCTTGCTGAATCTTTCGCCTTTGCTCATGGCGCCGGTGTGGGCAGTCCCGCGAGAAGGCAAAGCCTAGTGGTTGGCCGCCGTCGCGCCATTGCGCGTATGGGGCCTCTCCTCCGTGATCTGATTCTCTTGAAGTCTGTCCATTTGCAAGCTTCTGCAAATTGAGCTGTGGTTCGGTTAGGGCAACGACGAGCAACAGCATGTTGCAGAAGCATGTTGGTCAAACAACGGTTTGGTGCAGCTTGAGCCGCCGTGTTCCCTACAAGCAAGTCTCACGCCACATGAGGACAAGCCGAAGCAGC